TAAGAGACAAGGTTAAATTGAGTGTACATATATACACATATAGTCTTCTCACTCTAAGATGACAGTATACAAATGCAATGTTGTAAATAGCAAGCTCTCAAAGCCAATCTTGATATTGGTCCTCTGATTATGGGCAGTGATCGGAATCTTCATCGGAGCAATCATCGTCCTCATTGTCTTTCTCTTTTCTCTTGCGCCAATCAAAACCCTAGAGAGAGATGAAGAAGAAGAGAGTAGAGAGAGAATGAGAGTGTAGGTGTGATATAAGGGTATGGAAGTGAGGGATCCTAGACTACAAAAAAAAATATTATGGATCTATTCTATTACTAAAAATTGAAAAGGGATAGTAGACTAATTTTTCCTTTTATATAATGTGACCGTTAACATAATATTTTTGTTTAATTTTAAATTAAAAAAATAAAACATAAAAAGTGAAAGAAAGAAAATTTTGAAAGATTACAGTGAAAAAATGCTCAACATAAAAATGGCCCCGAATTTATTTAAGAGTTGTTCGAGATGATTTAAATAAATATATTTTTAAATTTTTTAAAAAATAATGTATAAAAATATATATGTGATGTGATTTAAATAAAATAAAATAAATTAAAAAAAACGTAAAAAGATGGGCTTGAAAAACAAAAAAAAAAAAAGGAAGAAAAAAGTAGAGCTCAGAGCACTTGAAAAAGTCAGGCCAGCCCCGGATGGAAAGAGAGAGCGATTGAAGAAAACCTCCGTAAAACCCTTAAATCCTTTCACTCCATTTTCGTCTCCTTCGAAGAGGATCAACACTAACAGTAAGCCAATTTCTTTCTCTTCACTTCTGCTATATATATATATATGCATGTTTTTTCTATAGTATTTATATAACTTTTTCCGTTTGATTCCCGAGAAATATACTAGGAAAAAGAAGTGAAATTTTGGAGCCATCTAAACCGTAACTAAAACCCTAACTTTTCATGACAACTCATCTTCTCATATATTTTTCTTCATGTTTTTTCAATGTTCAAAACATGCTTTCTTGTTAGTGCTGATCTAAAGATTTTTTAGGCCTCATATAAAACATAGCATCAAAATAGTGTCTATCTTATTATGCATTTACATGATTGGAATCTTTGCCAGTAAAGAGAATTCTTTTGTGGTTAGCAATACTCAAATCCTTGGGATATGCTCTGTTTCTTAATGGGTGTCCCCACTCCATATTATATATATATATATATATATATATATATATATATATAATATACATGTAGAGAAAATTCTGAATTGATTACCATGGCAAAAGAAGGGCTTGGTACTATGAAACTATAACAAAATTGAATGATTTTTGTTCAACTCGAGATTTGATATGTATCAGAGATCAGAGACCATTCCTAACTCAGAATGCACTTAATGAGTTTGGTTCCATGTACTCTGGTGTTGATTGGAGAGGGAGTGTAACAACCCACATTCATGTCCTAATCATGCTTGCATGCATTTTTATGTTTTGCCATGTTAAGTTGCTGTAACAACCCATACACATGTTATAGTCATGTTCATGTTCGTTTGCATAGCTTTGCCTTGTTAAGTTTGCATTCATGAATCTTGTCGTGCTTTGTGTTTATGTGTTATGTCTAAGTGTTGCTTGCATGCCTTGTCCTTTCCTTGCTATGCCAAGCCTAGGTTATGTCAAGCCTAGATCATTCCAAGCCGAGGTCATCTTGAGTTGTCTTGGAACCCCTTTGTTTGACCTCCACCTTCGACCTGACATATTGGCCGAGATGTCATTATCTAGGCCGAGGTGTTCTTCACCAAGGCCGAGATGTGTATTATCTAGGCCGAGATGTTTCCTTTGCACCCAAGTGACCTTGTCCTGGAGTGGTATGACCTAGACCGAGGTGTGGCACATCTAGGCCAAAGTGTGGCACAGCTTAGTCAAGTGTTGTCCTTTCTAGCCGAGGTCATTGTCACCTTAATTGCCGAAGTCATGTTGTTAGCCGATGTCATCACTTGCCGGAGTGCCTTACCGAGTAGCTTGTTAGATACACTTTGTCATAGTCTTGTCTTGTCAATCTATCACTTTTTTTTTAGGAGAGCCAACCAGCCGTTGCCACGTGTCCGAGCTGAGTGTTAAGTCAGCCGATAGATAGAGAAAACTTATCATTTCTATATCTTTGTTTTGAAGAGGAGAGAGAAGCTCTAGGTGAGGAAGAGGAGTTCTTGAGAGGAGGTAGATTTCCAAGCTTGATCCCTAGAGATCGAACCGTTAGATCCGTGTTTTAAGGTTAGATTCTTGATCTGCTAATGTTGTTCTTTATGTTCATGTTATTGCATTGCACGATTGAATATGACTTGTAAGCCATGCATTGCTTTGAAGTTCGGTTTTAGAAGGAGAAAATAGCATTCATGTGTTCTTGAAGAAAAGTCATGTTTTGATCCGAAAGCTCATGCCAAGCTCCATGTTTTTGTGTTTGTTTTCATATGATTTTCAAGTATGGGTACCCAGGTCCATGTTTTCGAACTCATAGCATGAAATCCCAGATTTTTGTAATAAAGAAGTTATGATTTTAGCATTCATATTCTTCATGATCTTCATGTTTATGTTCTTCTTGTTCTTCACGGGTGGAAACCCAGATCTCCAGACCTCATTTCCCTAAGTGTAGTCGCCAAGATCACTCCTGCCTAGATCACACTTAGGCCAAGCATCGTATCTCACATTGGCCTATCTTGCGTGATCACTTACACCTTTAGTTTGTCTTGTGCGCACCTCGGCATGAAGCCGCACGCCGAAGCCTAGGTAGCCACACCTCGGCCAGGAGGTGTGGGACCTCGGCAAAGACCTGGTTGGTACCCAGCATGTCTTCCTAACATGTAAACAGTGTTTTGACTTCCAGCATGTTTTTTCCGAGATCATTTGCATGCATGTAAGACTTGTTTTGAGAAGTGCATTCAATAGACTTTGCCATGTGTTTGTAGGACTTGGACCTTTGCTTTGATCCCGATGTCCCAAGAACTATGTGAGTGGTATTTTTAATAAAGCTATGTTATACGTTTTGATAAAGGCTTTGCTTTGCTTTATTTTGAAAGTATTTGTTAAGCATGAATGATTACCCCTATTTTTATGTATCAAGTAAGTTTTGTTTTGATGACATTCTCGGAAAGTCCCTTGTGCTGGAGGACTCTAAACTTTCGCAGCACATCTTGTTTTGAAAGTCCCTTGTGCTGGAGGACTCTAAACTTTCGCAGTACTCTCGTGTTAGGGGGCTACGGGCCTTCATAACATAGGTCCCTTGTGCTAGAGGACTCTAAACTTTTGTAGCACCCTTGTTGAGATATCTCCCTTGTTTTGGATGACGTTCTTGGAACCGTTCTTTCGTGTTAGGGGACGTTAAGCCTATGTAACATAGTCCTTCCGTGTTAGGGGACTGTAAGCCTATGTAGCACCGTCCTTTCGTGCTAGGGGACGTTAAGCCTAAGTAGCACCCTTGTTAAGATATCGGCCACCGACGGACTATGAACGGGTGTGCTCGATGCCGAGGTTATGCTTTTGTTGACGTATGTTAAGTGAGTAAGCAAGTTTTGAAAGACCAAGTTTCGAATGATGTTTTGTTTCAAGTCAAGTTAAGCTATGTTATGTATGGTTTTGACAAAGATATACTACGCATTGTTTTGAAAAGGTCTCGGGTATCATTCATTTAACCCCTTTATTATTTATACCATTCACTGAGTATCCAAGCTCACCCTCCCTATGTATATATGTAGGCAAAAAGCAAGAAGTCGGCTACGTCGAGATGTGTGTTTTGTATGTATGTTATGTCGGCAAACTTGAAGCTTATGTATTTTGTACGTGTCGGTAGTGAGGATGTCGGCAAATCTGGAAGATTATGTTCTTTGACCTGTAGTTCGTGTATTTTGTTTATGTCGGCTTGTGAAGCCCTTTGTTAAGATGTAATATGTATTTTTGTATTTTGCTTTAATTGTATTCAAGTTGTAAAGCTATGTAAAGTTGTATGCCATTCCATTTGGCTTATGCACTGATCTTATGGACCACTTGTATTTTAAATTATTGCTTCCGCACTTGTGAGCCCCATATATTTATACTTTGATTGTGTGTGAATTTTGAAAGTTGGCCTTCGGTAATCTCGGATTACTGGCCATCATGGCACCAAACTATTAGGGGCAGTTTGGGGTCGTAACAGGGAGAGAGAGAGAGAGAGATTGATTGCTGTTTTCAATTGGTTTTTTTTTTTGTTTTTTTAATTTGTTAATACATCTAAGAGTAAAATTTGACTTTGGGCCGTTCATTTAGTATGTATTTTATTTTTTGTAACAGTAAAATTTTACTTTGATTAAAAACACGTTGGTTTGCTTAACGATATAAAATTTTATTTTGAATTATAGTAAATTTTACTCTGATAGTAAATTCAGAGTAAAATTGTAATTTGAGAGTAAAATTTTTCTCTAAATCAAAGTAAAGTTTACTCTGAATCAGAGTAAAATTGTAATTTGAGAGCAAAATTTTACTCTAAATCAAAGTAAAGTTTACTCTAAATCAAAGTAAAATTTTACTCTGAAATACACTGTGAGGGAGCAAAATTTTACTCTAAATTAAAGTAAAGTTTACACTGAATAAGAGTAAAATTTTACTTTGAATCAAAGTAAAATTTTACTCTGAAATACACTGTGAGGGAGCAAAATTTTACTCTAAATTAAAGTAAAGTTTATTCTGAATCAAAGTAAAATTTTACTCTGAAATATACTGTGATGATGGCTTAATAGGAGAGCTGATAGATATGAGGTTAGTATAATAAAAGAAACAAGTTTTAAAATATTAGGAAGTTTTGAAAGTATCTATATAATTCTTGTCTTTTTAAAAGACAAATTAAATAGTGAGGGGTCTATCACCAAATCCCTCAAATTTTGGAGCCATCTAAATCGTAACTAAAAACCCTAACTTTTCATGACAACTCATCTTCTCATATACTTTTCTTCATGTTTTTTCAATGTTCAAAACATGCTCTCTTGTTTATGCATTAAAGGACCGAGGAAAATGGACAATGATTCTGATTCCATCAATTCGAACTCGAAAACACCTGAGGAAGCTGTGTCAACAATGTAAATGGACTCAGATGGATCGTCCAACACTTGAGTAAATACTATCACTTGTTTTGCACCCTCTTGTGTTTCATGAATTGTCCGAATTTAGTAATTGCACGTTCGATCTGTTGAATGGTTGTTGTTTGTTTTGTTCGGCGTTAAAAGGGTAAATTCAAAGACGATATTGCCGAGTCGATAGAAAAAATGCATACTGAGTCTGGGGAGGCAGGGACTTCATAAACCAATTTCAAAAGAAAACCAGTCATCATCATTGTTGTAGGAATTGCAGGTATTATATGTGTATGTGGACATATGTAAAATTGTAAAATATAATTTGTATTTATAAATTCCAAAGTGCCTTGTTATTATTATTTGATTTCTGATATGGGTTTTCATATATCAAATTTTGTTACGAAGTGGAAAAACAACGTTCCTTCATCGCCTAGTTTGTCATATGCAAGCTTCAAATATCCAGGGCTATGTAATGAATCTTGACCCTGCTGTGATGTCCCTCCCATTCAGTGCAAATATCGATACAAGGGACACCATCAAATACAAGGAAGTGATGGAGCAGTTCAATCTTGGTCCTAATGGTGGAATCCTGACATCACTCAATTTGTTTTCTACTAAGTTTTATGAGGTAGAACTGTGAACAGGAAGTTCTTTCTCTGAAAGTAACTATTTAAAATGTTTATATCGTGTCTTTTGAGTGTTTCGTATATGTTAAAAACTGAGACAGGACTATTGTGGCATTGTGAACATCCACCAGAGGTCTTATATTTGTTAATTTATCTCAGTTTTATATAGCATCTACTATGAACATCCACTAGAGGTCTTCATGTTCAATAGTTTTATTGGATTAGATAGCTCAAAGTTTCATTGACATTGAGAGGAGTACCCAAGCTTACTTGCATGAGTTTAACAATGATAGGTTTAAAATGTCCTTGTCTATGGAAATTTTATAAATCAATCTGTATGTTTCCTTCAAGTTATTCAATTGCATAATGCATCTTTGTTCAGACTAAATAGAAGTAATGTCAATTTCAGGTTATTTCGGTTATTGAGAAACGAGCAGATCAGCTAGATTATGTTCTTGTGGACACTCCTGGTCAGATCGAGATATTCACTTCGTCTGCTTCTGGAGCAATCATAACAGAAGCTTTTGCTTCGACCTTTCCCACTATAATTACATATGTAGTTGATACACCTTGTTCTTCGAATCCACAAACTTTCATGAGCAATATGCTTTATGCTTGTAGCATTCTCTACAAGACACGATTGCCTTTGGTGTTGGCATTCAACAAGACTGATATGGCTCAGCACCAATTTGCTTTGGAGGTAATTTGTGTTCCTTGTTTACATGACTGCTTGTTCTGATGTTGACGTTTGTTGATTAAGTGTTTTCGTATGTATTAGATTGTGAAACCTTTCACTTTTGTGTTCTGGTTTTATTTGTTGCTTGTAAATTATTTGTGTGGTTATTGTGGTGATGAAATGGTACCTACCACAGCACTAATCAAGTGAGAAAATTTAAAAATTAATTGCAACTTTGAAGTGACCTGGAAGTAAGTTTTGTGAATAGATTTTCATCATGTTTGAATATAATTTTACTAAAGGACCTAAATTCATTCAATGACACAAGAACATGAAGAACATAGTCTGCGCACATGCACATGGTTTCAGTGGATTACAACGTTTATGACTTGTGATTTTGGAGTTTATGAAGTAGGTTATTCTTGAAAGCAAGATTTTTTTTTATTTTTTAATTTTTTTTTCTCTGGTTTGTTTTAGAAGTCTTTCAACTTCATAGGTACACTTTAATAGTCTAACCTCCTCATATTTTTTTTGGAACTGAAACACTAGGTAAAGTGTAGAAAATATTAATATAATTTGCTGTTTTTTTAGTCCCGACTAGTCACCTAAGTACATGTAGTTTTCCCGCCCCTCATATACTAGGTAATTACTGAGCATAAGCCTCTGGGCAGCCTCAAGGGGTAGTGAGGAATGACACCTCAGATCTCTTGCTTAGCAAGAGAGTCCCCGGGCCTTTGGTCCACCCCTTGGGGTTAATATGTGATTTGTTGCTAATATATGCTAAAACTATGCCAACACTCTTAGAATCCATGTTTAAAGTTTTATAGTGTTCTGGTTAATGATATACATGGTCATTATGTTACTTAAAAAAAAGTTTTGATGGTGTGTAGATGGAAATTGGTAGTTCCAACAATATGTCTTATGTTGTGTAATTGAAAATCACTTGTGAGGAAGGGATGAGAGTCAATTGAAATGATTGGTGTTGTAAATTGGACCAATAATTGTAATAATAAATTGGAGACACTACAAGGACAATTGAAAGGCCAAAAAGTAGATTGACTGAGGTCAAGGTATGATTACCATACAGGGTCTGTTTGGTGTATTTTCTATAAGGTGAAAGTTGATAATAAAAAAATAGAAGCAAAAAAATCTCTTCTCTAGTTTTCACATAATCAACTTTTTTAAACTTTTAAGCTATTTTTTTCTCATAGGTTGTAAGTAAAAGTTGCACGAAATACATTGGCATAGATTCCCAAAATAAAAAAAACTATAAGTAGTTCCAATAAGTTGCACCAAACAAGGTCTCAATGATCTAACATTGTGTGACCCTAAATGTTGTAGAGTGGCCAAGGGCGAACTACGCTACTAATCACTTGCTAACTTGTTAGGATGAAGTATTATCAATTGTAATGTTTTACAAACAATTGGAATTCTTCATTACAAAAGTTTGCTGAATATTTATGTGGTGGAAGTCATATATTCTCCCGAACTGACAGAATAATGGAACAAGCAATAGGAAATGGCATGGGCATGCTCTGTATGTCAAATGATTGCATGATCAGTTGTCAAATGATTGCATGATGTTGGTTAAGATTTAATTGTCTTCATGACATGAACCAAAGAAAGACTTTCTACTATGAACATGCACTAGAGGTCTTCATATTCAATAGTTTTATTGGATTAGATAGCTCAAAGTTTCATTGACATTGAGAGGAGTACCCAAGCTTACTTGCATGAGTTTAACAATGATAGGTTTAAAATGTCCTTCTCTATGCAAATTTTATAAATCAATCTGTATGTTTCCTTCAAGTTATTCAATTGCATAATGCATCTTTGTTCAGACTAAATAGAAGTAATGTCAATTTCAGGTTATTTCGGTTATTGAGAAACGAGCAGATCAGCTAGATTATGTTCTTGTGGACACTCCTGGTCAGATTGAGATCTTCACCTGGTCTGCTTCTGGAGCAATCATAACAGAAGCTTTTGCTTCGACCTTTCCCACTATAATAACATATGTAGTTGATACACCACGATCTGCAAATCCACAGCCGAAAATTATCGGGGATGTGTTTTTCAATACCGACCCCGGCCCTACGGGGAATAATCTTCGGGGAAAATCCTATTTATCGGGACGAGACGGTCCGGGTCCCCGTCGGGCCAGGTTTAAATTGCCATCCCTAGTCAAGGTATGATTACCATAGTTTGGTGTATTTTCTATAAGCTGAAAGTTGATAATCAAAAAGTAGAAGCAAAAAAATCCCTTCTCTAGTTTTCACATAATAAACTTTTTTCAACTTTTAAGCTATTTTTTTCTCATAGGTTGTAAGTAAAAGTTGCACGAAATACATTGGCATAGATTCCCAAAATAAAAAAACTATAAGTAGTTCTAATAAGTTGCACCAAACAAGGTCTCAATGATCTAACATTGTGTTGTTGTAGAGTGGCCAAGGGCGAACTACGCTACTAATCACTTGCTAACTTGTTAGGATGAAGTATTATCAATTGTAATGTTTTACAAACAAATAGAATTCTTTATTACAAAAGTTTGTTGAATATTTACGTGGTGGAAGTCATATATTCTCCCGAACAGATAGAATAATGGAACAAGCAATAGGAAATGGCATGGGCATGCTCTGTATGTCAAATGATTGCATGATCAGTTGTTAATATTGCATGATGTTGGTTAAGATTTAATTGTCTTCATGACATGAACCAAAGAAAGACTTGATGTCACACCCTAAATCCGGGCATGACCGGCCGTGACCCACAGGGACTTAACCCAAGGCACGCGTAAGCCTAAACATGAATCCAAAACCATAAAGAATAAATGTGATGATAGCCCAGAAATAAATAAATCAAAACTCAATCTAGTGACATGCCACAAGTGCAAAACAAGTCATAACCAACTTCTTAAAAATATATATATACTAAATGGGACGCAAACTGGCCACAAAATAAAATAATTCTAAATAAAACCCAACCACAATGTATGCACAAAACTCGACAAAGCAACCTAAAAGAACTTAAATAAATGCCCTAGAGGTCCATGCAATTGAGTCCCCGCTACGCCGTGAGTCCACTCTAAGTCCTTCTAACACCTAGAAATGGTAAACAACTAAGTCAGCTGATAGCTCAGTGAGTAGCAACATGGATAGTAAATACAGTTTTGAAAACAGGGTTCAATTCCAAAATAATATATATATCACAGAAACTAGATTAGCATACAGTTTGGTAAATACAATCTGTTTCAAAAAGAAGGTTCCACAATTCTACACTTAAAATACTCATGTCTTGCAAGAACATGATAAACAACATTTTCCTCTTAAAACAGATTATAACATGAACACTAATAATTTTCTAGGTACCAAGAAAATAACAAGTAATATGCCACACAGTTCTCAAGGCTATAAGCCCCGTTGGATCCAATATCGAACTAAGAGTCATCCTCAAAGTGGCAACCTGGGTCTTTTCTCAAAGACGATCCGATTGAAGGTCACCTAGCTTAATCTAGGTCTTTTCCTTACAATCGTTGAGCACTAGAGTCATTACGGCCCAACTCGGATCTGTTCCCTAGTGGCCAGAGTCACCACACACAGTGGAATAATTTCCCTGGACTAAATACACAGATGGTCCCAATAATCAATACACATCAGTTTCGCAAAACATGATAGTTCATCATTATAAACATGAGACCAAAACAAATAGTTTACAGTATGCCAAGTTCACAGATGTTTCATAAATAATTTGATTCCATTGATAATATAATCATTTATCAAAACAGTTTAGTCATGAAACAACGATTTAATTTTCCAACAGTTTAGGGTAGGAGAACATTTATAAAAATATGTAGCATGAAACTACTCACCTGAAAATGAAATAATATAATCCTCGAATAGAGTGTAAAAGTCCAACTAGTGCCCTGAACCAAGTATAAAAACTACACATCACAACTAATTTAAAAATACTAAAAAAATAGGAACTATGTAACCTCAACTAAAGCGCACTAACACGGCTCAACCCAACTCACCGTTACTCTTAAATATTACATAAGTTCATGTTCTTCAAGGTTTAAAATACCCAAGACATGGGTTCCGGTCAAAACTTAATTAATTGTGACTTTAAGATAAAACAGAATTTCAAACAAGTCTTCCCACCCTATTCGCTAACTTTAAAAATTACAAAACCCACTCCACGCTATTCGAAAAATTTCAATAACCTCCAGATATGATCTAATATATCCTAAGTTTCAAACCCAATTGGTTTCACTTGATTTGGTTATCAAAATAATTATCTACAATTTATTATATCCAAACAGGTTGTTTTCTGCAGCACTTTAAAGAAATTGACGGTTCTCTTAATATACACGAGAAATCAATGCAAGGCCAAAAACGTACGAAACTAGACTCGTAACCGGTTCTAATGACACTAATTTGATAATTTTTTGATTTATACCCAAAGAGAACAACACTCCCGAATTTACTGTTTCGAACTAATTTCCTGGACAGATTTGAATACCTCAATTTATATGGATTTTGACTCCCAAAAATTATGAAAAAATTCAAATATGCAATTCAATATGTAGTTGATCTACTGTAAAAATTTCAGTTCAAAATTTATCCGTTTGATATGGTTTCTTGATTTTTAAAGTTTGTGATATTGTGCAGAATTTTTATCTAACAACTTTAGCTCCTTAATTCGCTTTAAAATTTTACATGATAATAATATACACAAAATACTATCCCAATCAGCCAAATCGTTCTTTTTTCTTCCAACAACTTACAACACTCACAAGCACCATAACTATGTAAACAACATATTATAATAGAATAAGAACAAATTGATTATTACCTTATAGAGTTGTTGAGACACAAGGGTGCTAGAAATCTCTCTCCCTCTCTCTTCTCTCTCTCTCTCTCTCTCTCTCTTTTTCTCCTTCCCGTGGCTGCTACTACATGTTGAAAGTGTTGTGCAAAACAATTATAATAAGGGTTAGTGTTTTTGTTAGGAAAACTAGGGTTGCTCTCTATATATATCCAAACAAAACTTTAAATAATTATCCTTTGTTTTATATATATCTAACCAAAAGGCTCTAATTTATTATCTCTTTATATTATTTTAATTTCTATCTCTATTAAAATACAAATATTATTAGATCAAAATATGCTTACTAATTTAGCACTTAAATTTATTTTTTTTTTAAATAATAAATCTTACTTCTAAATTAAAGACTTTCACCATAAATTTATTTTAGGTTTAAAAATTAATTAAAAGACTCTCCAATAATATTTAATTTGCACCTTAGAATTCACCACCAAAATATTTGAGATTGTAATATTATTATTTAATTATTTACTTAATTTTTATATTCGAGTTTCCACACTTAAATGCAATTATATAGATTTTTGTGATGTTGGAAAAGAGAACACAATTTTGGATATTTGGCTTAAATTTTCTCTTTAGTGATTGAGTGGAGAGAGATAGAAATTTGAAAATTTTATCTTTCACCTAAAAGCATCTTGCAATAAATAACGAAAGCTTGTCTTGTATACCCCCTTTCTGTTTTTGAACTTGTGCTTTCTCTTCGTTAATTACTTGTCCCTAGACCAAGCGTATGTAGATATATCTCGTATTTTTTGTTTAGTTTTGTATAGTTTTAAGAATATTACCTATTTGTCTTCATCAAAAGGATTTTGTAATTGGAGCTGATTCTTCAAAATGACTGTTAAAGGTAGTGTAACACCCGTACATGTGGATGTTCTCCCTTATTTTGTCCGGATCCATCTTTATTCTCATTTTGTGTGTTTTCTTGAATATGCAAATTCAGGCTTTTCTTTTCTTTTTTTGTTTCTTTTACATTGGTTTGGATAATGCGCTGCTGCTGCTGATGTGTGTGCTGTGGAAGGAAGACTTTGAGGCATTTCATGTGGCACTAGATTCAGATCATTCGTACATGTCAACCCTTACTAGAAGCCTCTCTCTTGCTCTGGAGGAGTTCTATGAGAATCTAAGATCTGTTGGAATGTGCAGTTTCTCGTGCTGGAATGGAGGCTTTCTTCAAGGCCATTGAAGCAAGTGCCGAAGAGTACATGGAAACGTACAAGTTTAGCACATACTCAACTCTTCATCAAGTTGTAGTGTGATTTTATTTTTATGGGCATGATGTGGCTGATCCTTGTTGACTCGATCTTTTTGTTGTCAGGATAAGCGATCCACTATTATTCTTGTGTGGCATTTGCTTGTTTTTTTAGGGCTGATCTTGACAAGCGGTGGGCAGAGAAGCAACATTTGGAGGAAGAAGAAGGAGGGAGAACATGGAGAAGCTGAGGAAAGATATGGGACGTCCAGGGGAGAAACTGTGGTATTGAGCATTGGTTTGAAGGATAGAGAAATCAGTAGTAAGGCCATGATGGATGAAGATGACGAAGAGGAAGAGGAATACAATTATGAGAGGTTTACTGAGGAGGAAGGTGTTATAGATGAGGATGAAGATGAAGATGAAGAGGTTCCCAGGTTTTCATTTGAACTCCACATTTTTCTGGGATATTTTCTTGAAGCAAAACTTTGTATAGCACCATCAGAAGTAACTAAATCAGTATGCAAGGGCTGTTAGGTTGGCTTCACTTCATGTTAGCTTTTTGTGCATGCCTGCTTAGATACTTTTCTGAACTTCAATGTTGTCTAGTAGGGTTACATACAAATGTTCATGGTTATCTTTGGTGTTGATCAGTTGCCTTTTCATTGCTGTTGATTAATTTGTAAAACTAAGGAAGATGTCGGCTGGTTTAAGTTTCATGTATGTTGATATTACTCCTTGTCATGAGTGAATTTGAGCAAATGGGAAAGGATAGGATTGGAGTTACTCATTTATAATTTGCAGATGATACTGTATTCTTCTCATTAAATGAGGAAAATAAGGTAGGAAGTTTGCTAAAGATTCTGAGAATTTTTGAAATTGTGTCGGGCCTCAAGGTCAATCTTAGCAAGAGCTGTGTTGTGGGTGTTAATTTGAAAGATAGCTATGTGCATAGGGTGGCGGATATGTTGGGATGTTGCATTGGTTCATTTCCTCTCAAATACTTGGGGCTTCCATTGGGAGGAGATCCTAGATTGGCGTCCTTTTGGGAACTTGTTCTTGTCAAAATTAGGAAAATATTGGAGGGATGGAAGTGAGTTTTGTTGTCTAGGAGATATACTTTGGTATAATTCGTATTAGGATCTATTCCTATTTATTTCCTGTCCCTTTTCAAAATTCCGGTTAGCATTGCGAGGAAAATTGAGAAATTGATGAGAGATTTTCTTTGGGAAGGGTGTGAAGTGGGCAAAGGGGCTCATTTGGTTAGGTGGGAGATTGTTTCTCTTCCTAGGGAAAAGGTGGCTTGGCTATTGGGAACATTGTTGCTAGGAACATTGCTCTGTTGGCAAGTGGTTGTGGAGATTTTTTATTGAAAGTGAATCGTTATGGCGTTCAGTTGTTAAAAGAAAGTATGGAGTTCAACCCAATGGTAGAGATTCTTATGTGGTTAATATAGGCAATTGTCGTTCACCGTGGAAATTTATTTCTCGTTTGTATCCACTTGTGTCTAACTTCTTTTCATTGAGAGTGGGGAATGGGGTGACTATCAGTTTTTGAGAGGATGTTTGGTTAAGGGATATCTCGTTTGATAGATCTTTTCCTCTTCTTTATCGGTTGGTCTGTTCTCGAAATGTTTTAATAGCATTGGTGGCATGCTCTTCTGTGGCACCTATCTCTTGGAATTTTGATCTCATTAGAAACTTGAATGATAGGGAGGCGGCGGAGTTGGCATTTTTGTTGGTCGTGCTTGAGGGGGTCTCTCTTTCTTCTTGTGATATTAGGGTGTAGAATCTTGTTTCCTCAGGAGTCTTTTCATGTAAATCTTGTTTTGATAAGATCATTAATAATCCCTCTGTTCCCTTGTTTCCTTCTCATAAGAAAATTTGGAAAGCGGTTGTCCCTCATAAAGTGAAGTTTTTCATGTGGTCTTTGGCTCAAAAGGGTGTTACAACTAATGATGTTTTTCAAAGGAGAAGGCCTAATCACTCTCTTTGCCCTCAATAGTGTGTGATGTGCAAGAGAAACTTGGAGGTAGCAGATCATCTATTCCTTCATTGGCCGGTGGCTTGTGTATTATAGCAGCGTCTTTTCGGCTTATGTGATGAACAGTGGGTTACTCCGCAGGACTACATTCAAATGCTTCTTATTCGGTTTAAAAGGTTTAGGAGAACCAAGAGAGCCAAAACAATGTGGACAAGCATTGTTTTTGTTGTTTTCTAGGCTATGTGGTTGTAGAGGAATGCTAGAATCTTTGATGGCAAGGAAGCGAGTGTAGAGGCTTTATGGGATAGGGTGGAATATTTGGCTTCATTTTAGGCATTTGTATCCCCTCCTTTTAAAGGAGTCCCTTTGTTCTTGATATTTAGGAATTGGGCTACTGTTTGCCATCCCTAGGGCAAGAAGTTTTGTGCTTTTGTTTTGCTCTTTTTCTTTCTCTTTCTTTGTATGAGGACTTCTTGTCCTTTTTCACTTTTCTTTTTTAATGAAATTTTGTTGATGCTCAAAAAAATAAAAAAAATAAAAAAATTTGAGCAAATAGGAATGCCTCTAAAAGATTCAGGTATTCAGGATCTGACGAATGAGGGATCGAAGCTGTACATGTGGGGCAATCTAGGCCACTGGTAGGGATGGTGATGCGGTAAGAGGAAGTGAAGGGGTTGTATTGGGGGTGACCTAGGAAAGACAGGGGTTTTAACTTGGTGGAATTTCAAACTAGCGAATTTTAACCGCAATCCTTGGAACACGGGCAAACCCTGGGCATTCGGGTTGGTGCAATTTACTGACCTGATTGTGAAAAATCAACACATTCCAGACTTAAGCTCATACATCTCGATGGGCTCTCCCCTGCTTTACATCGCTGAGTTCCTTGCTCCCGTAACCAAGGCAATATACAAAAATGTGAAGGAGATGACACAAAATAAAGCGCCATCCATGACATTAGATACATTAGGAGATGATGACGGAGTGGCATTGGCGGAACAGTACAGAGTGGAGAGGCTGGGGAAAAAGGTTGTGGAACGGCCAGTGCCCCCCCTTCCAACGACAATGATCTCGGCAGTCTAGCCGATTAACCAAGTGGCGCCTGCCCACTGGCAAACCAAAGCTGACAAGTCCATGCTAACGATAGAGGATCTGGAGGAGTTGTGTACCAGATATCAAATTCCAGTGGAGATACAGTTAAGAGTGCCCACGACGAAGGAGAAAGCGTCCGACGTGTGGCCAATGGAATTTACACTGTACGAGGAGATGTTGTGCAAGGGCCTAAGGTTGCCACTGCCCCCACTGGTGGTCAAGGTGTTGAACCGCCTAGAAGTGGCACCAAGGCAACTATTGCCAAACGAGTGGAAGATCTTATTTGCTTGTGCGATTGCATAGCCGCGGGCGACTGGAGAAGAGGCGATGACAGTAGATGAGTTTTTTTTGTGCTACAAGGCCTCAGGGCAACAGGAGACTTGGGTGACCCTACAAGCGATAGTGGAAAGAGAACTAGTGGTAGGGTTGCCCTCTTCAGTGAAGGAGTGGAGGCCAAAATGGTTTTTAGTGTCAGCGGACGGCATGAGGAGAGTTCGCACGACTTGGAAAGTGCCAACCAAGTCGTTGGAGCCAAGGTTGGATCATGTGGCAGAGAGGTAGGTCAAGTAAGTGAAGGAGTGAAGGAAGAAAGAGGGGCTAAAATGGAATGACCTGGTCCAATCCTCAGCCTTGTTTGCCCTGAAGTTAGGACCTGAGCCTACTGGGGGAGATCCTGCTCCAGAGGAGGTAGAGGCAATGAGGACGTGTGAGCGTTTGCCAGGGTTGACAGATACAAGGAGAAAGAGTTAGGCCTAGCGCCGAAGCTGGTAGCAAAGAGGTTGGTTCAACCACGACCCAAATCCTTGGGAGAAAAAGACTTAGCAACATTTGTGCCTCTGCAAGCGTCGGTGGATCCATTGAGGGAGAGGAGTAGGAAGGAGATAGAGTTGGTGTTGAAGAAGAAGAAGAAGCGGAAGGTGGTGTCAGAGGAGAATGAAGAAGGACCATTGCTAAAGAAGACCAAAGAGGGGGCAGTGGAAGTACCCCCAAGAGTAGAGGGAGAAGAGACCAGGGTTAGTGTGGAGGCGGAGGGAGGTTTGGCCGAGCTCCTGGCCATCTTAAGTGATGAGTAGAGTAGACGAGCAAAAAAGGGTGCCAGAGGTCGACCGATCGACGAACTTGCCCTCCAAGGATATGCCCTTAAGAGAAATGCCCTCAAATCAGGAGTTGAGGAGAGAGCGGGTGAGTGGAGCAAAGACGAGAGCGCCACGCTGGGGACCGTTACTCATCATATTCATATAGTGGTCGGCTGCTTAGCAGGCGATGTGGGCGATGCTAGGGCGGCCACAAACCGTCTGTTGGGGATTGTTAAGGACGTAACCGTGCAGAGTGTTACACAATATATAGAGAGGCCGACCCCCTGAGAGGAATCTGCTCAGCGTAGATAGAGACAGCGACCTTGGAGGCTGCTTTGTTGGGCAAGGCAGCGGGGGCGAAGGTGGAAGTAAAGCCGCTTAAGGCCAAGTTGGAAGGGGTTCGGGCTCAATTGCAAAACGTAAGGGTGGAGACGGCTGGCTGGAGAAAGGCAGCGTGGAGCGCCTGCGCGAAGGGATTGGTCTATGCTTAGAGGACAAAAAAGATGGAGGTGTTGGCGGTGGTACAGAGTTACTTGGCTAAGCGCACCAACATAAGCCAGGCTGAGGTTGCGTCTGAGTTGTCAGTCGTCAAGTCTAAACTTGAAGTGGTACACCGTAGGGTAGTATCACTAGAGTTTGAGTTGGCAAGCGAGTAGCAGAGGACTGACAAAGTCCAACAAGCCTGCACCACTGCCAACTAGAGATTAGAAAAGGCCCTCGTAAATAATGAAGAGTTGCGCAATCTAGCCTTGAAGGATAAGGAGGAGGCAGATACACGAGTGGCGGGGTTAGAGAGGGCCCTGGAAAAAAAAATGACTAAGACAGCGGAGTTGGCCATGGTGATGGCGTCTGAGAGGGCCACCTATCCAGATTTGAGCACTGCTATAGTGGAACAATTTAAGTTATCCCTTGAGTTTCAACTGGCCATTGATGCAGCTGTGGCGAGAAACTTAGCCAGAGAGGGAGAAGGTGGGGCAGGATTGTCAAATGTGGTTGTTGCTGAGCTGGTGGTGGAAGAGACCAAAGAAGAAATAATCTAGAGGTTTCAGCAATCGGACTATTACATGCACAAGATGAGCATCTACTGAGAAGGGAGGAGCTTCAAGTATAGAGCGGAAGAGCTTTTCCCAGGCATAGATTTCAGCGTCGTGAGGCCAAGAGAGGGGTACATTGCCCAGACTCCGCTGGATGAGGGCGTTGAAGAAGAAGATTTGGCATCTAGAGAGGACGATGAGGGTGACGGCAAAGCAATGTGAAGATTGGCCC